TTCCACAGTGAGTATAACAAATATGCTTTACTGTTGTGGGTTTAGTAACACTTTAAATATCATAGAACTCATCTGTGGCCTTTGAAATCCTTATAATAAATATATAGGAAATGTAAGTCTATATACTGTATGAAACATGCAAACTTTGATGTTGCATATTTAAAGCAAAACTCCAGGCAGTCCGCTAAATGCATAGTAAAAACACACATGTGAAACTTATTGACTCCGAAGGATGTATACAATAGTTCTGTCTGACCACTTTTTTTTTTGTACCAGACAGCACAGTCAGGGGGGTGATACCACTTTCTCTGTTAGATTTAGGGAAACAGAGGTGTCTATTCCCTGCCTGCAGAATGGTTATTGGACAATGAAGGAGTAGCATCACACTGATAGGTCTAACTGCTCCCTACTTATGTCAGCACATGTAAATACAGTAAAACATGATTGGCTCCTAGTACTGCTCCTTCTTCAACCAGTGTGAGCATTGCTATGGAGGACATGGGAGGAGAAGAGACGAGGTTTAGTACTTCTGCTAGCTGTAAGTAAGAATGCATTTATTTCTGCTTAAAGAAACATACTACTGCACTAAATTCCATTTTGAAATCTGCCTGCAGCCCCATCTTTATCATGTTGTGGATAAAGACAAGAGATCACTTTTAAATATACTGTAAATGGTCCGTGCCAAAATATACAATATCTATCCAGTTTAATGTATGACTTGTGTTTTGTTTCCACATGTGATTGTAGATGTAACTGCTGACAGCAGCTTGCTTTATTAATGTCCATAAAGAGATAATAGTTCCTTGCAGTCGCCTTAAATAAAACTCTAGCTACTATATAAACGTTTGCTCATCATATGGAAAGGTTCATTATGATTTAAACCTAGAGTCCATTTAGAAGAGTATTGATTCTATTTGAGTCATTCCTTTTCATTAAAACTTCTGCCTTTACAGCAATAATCCCATGTTCATAGTGCATTAGAAAAAAGATAGAGCTGTTTAGTGCTTATAGGAGAGGTTTTATTGTATGTATTATTTCCTTGTATTGCGCTGCTTTCCAGGGGAGGCACAGATTAGAAGTTGAGTATTTAGGAACATTTTTTTTTTCCAGACTTTTGGCACACTTAGATGGGGCTGAAATCTGCTTTTAGTCAGTGCACCTGCTGATCAGTAATGTGTAAAAATTGAGAGGACTAATAGCGATATTTATTATACTCGGAATCTTATAGAAACCAAAAGAATATAAAAGAATTCCCCATAGCAACCAAACAAATGTTATGGCCTGGGCTCAGAATCGGACAGGTTGGAGGCTCTGGGTCTCTAAAAACCTTGTTGTAATATGTCCTCCATGTGTCATTGTGTCCCCCTACTGTGCAGGGACTATTCATGTGTGACTAATATAATCATTTTACAATCTCCTAAATTCACCACGGGTAGGTTAATTTAATTGGAAACTGAGGGCTTTTCTTGTGTCTTCTGACCGATGTGAGCTGTAGTAGAAGGAGAGTGTTGTACCATGTTAGCCATTAGTCAGTCCAAAAGTATGGAGTTTCATGATACCTTTTGCTGGGTAATGTCCGTTTTTAAAGATGTAAGTCTTCAAATATGTTTGTTTTCTTCTTTAGGCATCATGTAAGTGGTGTATATACATAACAGGCTCGGACTGCAATTACGCTACATCTGGCATTTTCTAAAGGGGCCAGGTATTATTTAAAGAGACATTTGTTGAGAGAGGGGAACTGCTGCAGGTATGAAGTATAGGCAAACTGATTGAACATATCAGCAGCCTTTCCAATTCTCCAACCTGTCTAACTAGAAAATCTCAGATACTTATTGGTAGCGTCTTCGCTTACCGCCAAGCTTCCTCCCATATTCCTATTGACCTGTCACTATGATGGGCAAACCTAACCAGCCAACAGGAACATGCGGGAAGTAGGAAGGGTTAGGCAATCATCTACACTTAAAAGGAAATGCCTGTCAAAATAGACTGAAATTTGGCTGCAACAGAATGGTTTAGGAGGCTCCTGCAGGTATGTAAAGACATCGCAATACCGTCATAATTTTTTTTTTTTTATTATTATTTTTGTCCTGTCTTTTTAAGGGCAGCTCCTATTGACTGCCCATCATTACTGACTTCTGTTTTTAACAAACAGAAAATTCATGTAACCTGTGTACATTGCATTTACCTTGTAATTGTGCACTTTATACTAGTACCAATACTTGAAGACAGAAATATTTCTTCATACAAATTGGCAATGTAATGCTGCTTATTACACACTACGGTTTCATTTTGGCTCCAAAAGACAATTCTCTTCAATTTCATTATTTATTTATTATTGGCATTTATATAGCTATTGATTTTACGCAGTGTATTACATATATTGTACATTCACATCAGTCCCAAACCCTCAAGGAGCATACAATCGAAAGTCCCTAACTCTCATTCATACATACACATACTAGGGCCAATTTAAACAGAAGTCAATTAGGCTACCACTATGTTTTTGGAGTGTGGGAGGAAACCGGAATACCCAGAGGAAATCCACTCAGGCACTGGGAGAAAATGCAAACTCCACTATAAAAGATTGGTTGCAAAAGACAGGCGCACATTCTTCCCAGGCTTCTATGTGACTTGACGGCTAGAGTTAAAAACCAAATGAAGTGTGAGAAGCCTTTCTCATATCACCCGGATGATGGTTGTATACATCAGGCTGTCATCACATTATAAGATAAATAAATATTTGTATTAGACATAAATACACAAGTATATTAGGAATACTTAGGAATTTTCTTGATGGTAACTAGGATTGTGTATAATATCCTTGGACAATCATTTATTATACTAATTATTTTGATTTTTAAAGTATATAGTTGTAACTGATGTCCTTTATTCAATTTAATTTATATTCTTCCCCATAGCCATGAGTAGAGGATCATTTTCAGGTTCTCACTAGGTGCTCATGAGGCGTTTTCTGTTCCATAAATAGAAAGCCTTACTTTTTTTAGTTGTGGTCTGCTGTAAAATCTGCCCACCTATTTATTGCACTTTATTCCCAGTATTTGGTGCAAGTGTTTTAGTTTCTGCTTTAAGAACTTGATAGCTTTAGATGATCAGAAAATATCAGGCCTTGTGTTTGGCCCCTGAGTACTTTCATGAATTGACCACAGAGGTAAACATGAATCTGTTTATCACTGCTCTCTGCATTAATTGGCAGAGAATCCATTTTTCTGACTTCATCTCCCTTGGTGTTGAATAAGCAAGGATGGGATTTTAGGACTTGGGGAGACAGTGACACCATAAATGGACATTTAAGCTGAATAAGGTCCAGGAAGTTGTGCAGGCAGATTTTTCACATACCTTCTAACTTATGAAAGAATATGAAGCTGGCGAAGGCTAAGCAAAGTCCAGCATGAGATAAACATTTGTCTTTTTCCTTTTCCAAACAGAAACAAGCAAACATTGAAGGAGAAAACGTGCACAGCCGTCAGCATGAATTCTGGTGAGTACATAAGTCACACTGTACATTAAGTGTATGTTTGTTGTTCTGGAAATCAGACACTGATCCAGGAACAGCCTCCATGGTAATGTTAATCAGTGTAATGTGTATGGTTTGAATTATAAGTTATGGAATCACTTGTATAAATACCTGATATCTATAACTATATGATAACTAGACCTATGAAAAAGTAATTAATTGGTGCTCAATAACAACAGGGATAATAAAGATCAAAGAAAGAATGTGAGCAAAATTTTAGATTTTTTTTTTTCATGTAGTGTCCATTCATTAGATGTTCTGCACCACATTACACAGATCTAAAACAAATTCTATGCCCTAAAACCCAAGATAGCAAATCTTAGAACCATTACTATGGCAGGTTAGGATTAAATACAGTTTTATTCAAAGTTCTCATACAGAAACATGTTTTGGAGGTCCAAGGATGTAAAGGTGTATTATCAAAACCTTTATCTTTTAGCACAAGTATAAATAAAAGGAAAACTTTTTTTTAAATTTGAATAGATTGGTGAGGGGTTAGAACCACTGTCAGGTTTTCTTAATGCTGTCTGTGTCCTTGTTATGGAGATTGACACCCTCTTGTTTGTCCTGATAACCTATGTTACTGCTGTAGTAGGGCAGTGTAGTGTCTTTGGTTCTTCTGATAATGTGATTTATGGGTATTTTATATTGGTAAAGTGTAAGATGTTGAAATTTTAACTTAGAGTCGATCATTGATACAGGTTGATTATTGATAAGACCAGTGAAGTTTTACTAAAGTAACTCTTGCAACAGACCAATGTCAACAGGGACAAAGAATCAGTGGAACTGGAGTTGCTGTGGGCCATGTTCCATGAAAAGTATCTTTTTGCTGACATATTTGGCATAACTGCATGAAGGTCTGCTTGAGCCATGTAAACATTTTGCACACTTCTAGCATGCCTGCTCCAACAGCACAACTAGGAGGTTATGTTATTATGTTATAGGAGAGTTAGGTGTTAGAAGGACACCTAACAGTGAGAGCTGTGAAAATGTGGAATAGACTCTCTCAAGAGTTGGTTCGGGCCAACTCTGTGGATTGCTTTAAAAAAGGCCTGGGTTCTTTCTTGGATACACACAGAATAACTGGATACTAACATTTATAGGTAAAGTTGATCCAGGGAATATCCGATTGCCTCACGGGGGATCAGGAAGGAATTTTTTTCCCAGCAGGAACAAATTGGATCATGCTTTGCTGGATTTTTTGCCTTCGTCTGGATCAACTGTGGGTATAGGATTATAAATTTTTTTTTTTTAATGGTTGAACTGGATGGACTTTTTTCAGCCAGACTAACTATGTAACCTGCTTTTCTGTAATAATAGATAGTTGGAGATTGAAAGTGACTAGAGCCTAGTTTATTTTGCTGTACATGTCCTATAAATTTTATATCTGCATGTTCATGAGAAATCAAACAGGCTTTATCCTTGTATGGTAGAATAATATGCTTATGGAAACCTTTTTATTTGTACTCCAGACAATGAAGTAAACCTAGCAAACAATGTGGTAAATGGAGTAACACCTGGCTGCAACATTCAGGAAAAAGGTATGTCCCATGAGTGCAATGTGTTTAGTAATATTATCATAATGTAGAACATAAAGCTAAATAGATTGCATTGATCTGTTTAAAGTATGACAGTTATGTTTTCTATATTGTAAGATTATAGCTGTTTTGTTACTGTCACATACAGCTTAATGGCTGGTGTGCAGCTATGGGCATGACTGAGAACTCCTAGCATCCACTTAGAGCATTGTAGCAGATTTTTTTTTTTTTTTTTTTATTCGTAATGCACACCTAGGGTATATGTTCAGGACCACTATCAGTATATGGCAGAAGATCCACAGGCAACCAAAGTGAAAATGCCTCCCATTTACAGTAAAACATTGTGCTGCATGTACACTAGCTTGGATGACACAGGGCTGAAAAAAAATGACCACTGCAATCCACTGGTCCTAGGGTTGCCACCTTTTGTCAGTGAAAAGCTGAACACGATGAGTGTAGCTTGCGTCATGGTTAAACCAGGCTGATTTAGTGTGCATTGTAAGAAGCATCCAGGTTTTCATCAGAATAACCAAAAGATATTTTCCTATTTGGAAACTAAGCTACAGTAGGGCTCAACTCATCAAAGATGGAGATTTTATACTGTAACTGATTTGTCCTTTACAGTAAAATTATTTTTCTGGTGAAAAGCATTGTGAATTTATTAAAAAAAAAAAAGGAAAGATGCGCTTTTCTACAAACGCCGTGTATATTTGTTCAGTGTGGAACTTCAATCACAAACTAACAAAACAGATTAAAACGACAAAAGTTTGCATACAACTGATAAAAAAATAAACAAGTTATTAAGAGGAATTAAAAAAAAAAATCACAGTTGCAGACTTCATTTAAATGGAAACCACTCTCATTGATTCTGATGTGCAGAGTGGAACCTGACTGTCAAATTGACAGCTTAGCCCCACAAATTTTGCCGTGAGAGCAGGACTTCCAATTCAATCTGTCCACAGCCCCCAGCACTCCATCCTCATTGCAGCACCTGAGATACGTGCTTCTCCTAGCACTATGTCAGCTCCAACCTGTATGGTAGATACTTTATGGGAGAAATGTATACTCATCAAATTCTACCTGTTCTGCTATTTTTTTTTATTTCTGTTCATTTTTATCTGTAGTTATTAAATATAATAGAGAGAAACACTACATTACTTTAGTCTGATCTTGTTGCGTAGCCAACAAAGTTCATACATATGAATTTCAGGCAATTATATGTTCATTATACTGTGTGCAGTTTCAGTACTTAGCATTGCGATGTGCAGTAGCAAAAATCTAAATTATGCAACAGCAGGTTAATGTGTGGAGAAAGCTGGAATATATTTAAAATCCTGCCTCATGTAACCTCCTTTCTAATAAAGGGCTTATACCATAATTGGTAGAAAAATCCAAACAGAAATAAACAAATGGATCCATGTAACTGTCTTCCCCTATCCCTGGGCTCCTTTATTTGCTCGTTCTGCCACCAGCAGGTACACAAATTTAAACATTAATGGGGATGGAGGATTCTGCGGATATCTGCAGGCTGTTCTAAATAATGAGTGGCAAGTAAACCAGCAACCATTGTGCATGTGTAAAGTGCAGAGGAATACTCTGCTCTTAGTTTACAAGTTCTGTTGTGTTCATTTCTTTCACAGTGCAGATTAGCAGAGTATAGGACATAACAGTATATAACAGAAAGAAATCAAAATTTTGGGGGTCACTTAGAAGATAGTGTTTATCACTATTCTCTCTCTGTCACATTCTGCAGGAACACTGTAGTCTGTGACCTGCCCATTCATAAAGTATCAGGCCTGTGATATTCTAGAGTTCTCTTTGCATGACACAGCAGAACGAATTCTGTGATTGAAGGTGAGTCAGTCATGGGACTATGAGAGGTTATATTAGTACACCATATTCCTTTTTTTTTCTTTTTAAGTGGGTTATAACACTTTTTTTTTTAAAAGGTCCCCCCCTCAAGTCTGACAAGATTTCTGTGCACACCCTACTAATTGATAGTATTATACCGGCCATCACTGTCAGATACAATGGCAACTACAAAAATTGCTCTTTTTATGGTTTATTGCACAACTCAAATATATCCTCTGCAGTATACTACTGCAAATCTAGTTTTGTTCAAGCACTAAATTACTCTTCAAATATTTACCCCAATGAGAAGGAAAGGGTAAATGTTGTATGAGTAAATCACTTTGTAATCCATTGATCTAAGTTTAAGCAGAACTAAAAAAAATAAAACATTTGGCAGTTCAGACAGTTGACATTCGAAGTGAATGGTTGGATTACACATGCATTTGCTGATTATCTCTGGCTACTTTCACACCTCTGCATTTTCCATGTACTGCAGTAAAAATGTGGTATTTTTTATATGCTTTACTATGCATCCCTATGGTAGGTGTATTTTGCCTAAAACTGCAGCAAATGGCATTCAACACGGCACACTAAAACAAGGCGGTATGGATGTAGACTACTACTACAGAGCAGACACTGAATTTTTTAAATATATTTTTTGATGTGGGAGAATGCCAATGAGTAGTGGCAGAAATCCAAAGCATAGTCTCATAATACAAGTGATGAAAGCAGAGAACTTTTCATACAGACCATAGCTAGGTTTTCTGCGTCCTTGGTTTACATGCATTTTTGTGGCTTATATGTTTATAAAAAATATATCAAATGCAGATGCAAGTGTATAGGGATAGCCTGTAGTATAACAGGATACTTTAGAAATAGAGAAAAGTTTTAGAGTATAAATCTATATGTATCTAAAATTTATTATAAGGGCTTGTTCACACTTGACTAATTTCTAATGCTTGCCAAACTCCCCTATAGCGTTTGGCAGGCATTGGACAGGCATTCGGGAAGCATTTTTAACGCTCTTCAAACGCTCTATGAGCGTTTTTGAGGCGTTTGATAGGCTTTTAGCAAGCATTAAAACCACACAACAAACGCCTATAATGACGTTTAACGGTTTTAACGCTCCATAAACGCCTCGCAACCGCCTTGCAAACGCCCCGCAAATGCCTGCCAGGATTTTGAGAAGCATCACCATAGACTTGAATGGGAAGCTTCAACTCTTCCTGACTGGATATGAGGCGCCAATTTTGCTGCAACGCTAACACTTCAGTGTGAACAGCACTGTGTGCTGCGATGTGTAGAATTTTCATTAAAAGCTTTAAAAACGCTTCCCAAATACATGTCTAATGCCTGCTAACAAATCTAGTGTGAACATAGCCTAACTCTCAAAAATACAACCATTTACTTGGGGATAAGAAATACTGTACTTTGTTATTATGCCTATAAAGCCACGTTCACACTTGAGCGTTTTTTAGCTCGAAGCTTGATGCTCAGAAACGCTCAACATGTTAAATCCCATTCATTTCAATGACCCCTGTTCACATTTGAGCATTTTGTCACCTGTAGCAAGGCCTGTCACTCAAAAAAAGTATATGTGCTACTTTTCAGGCTGATTGGAGCATTTTTGTCCCCCACAGACTTGAAAGGAAATACCTTGAAAAACGTGACATGAATGTTTTTTTCCAAGCATTTTGTTGTGCGATTTTCTGCTCAAACAGAAGCTCTCCACCCTTTTTTCAGCAGAACTCCACACCTTTTTTTGAAATAAAGCCTAATATTTGCAAATAAAAAAAAAAACCCCTCAAAAACGCCTGCAAAAAACACTTGAAAAAAACGGCTGAAAATGCTCAGCCAAGTGTGAATGTATCCCAATGCACATCTGAATATACTGACTATTGGCAACTTATAACAGACACTCCTTCTGAAAACGATACACTACAATCTCATTGCTCTCTCTATTGATCTTTTAAGCAACTATGTAATACAAAGGCCTGACTTCATACAAAATATTGATTGTTTAGGTGTGTAGATAGATTGTACACAGGTTATACAATCAGACTGTATAGTGGATGGCCATTTTAAATTGGAAGCACGAAGGGAAGGGTTAGAACATTTGTCAGACTTCTACTGCTGTCCCAACATTGGAGATTTTTTAACTTGTTTTCTCTGTGACAACAGAACAAAACATGACAACACTGGTACAGGAAGGGCAGACAGCAAAAAAAGACCGCATAGGAGTAACTTTCCCAACACTGCTAAATAAGTGTTTGCTGTTGCAGTCATTGTGCTCTTAGATTGTAAGCTCTCAGGATCAGGCCCTCCTAACCCTCTTGTATTGAACTGTATTGTTGCTGTATTGTCTCCCGTTATATTGTAAGTGCTGAGCAAACTGTTGGCGTGATATAAATCCTTATTAATAATAATAATAATAATAATTTTTCCTAATGGGGAGATTACCCATTATCTCCTAGCACTGGGACAGAAAGGGAGGACAAATCTCTCCCAAGAGAGACACAGACAACAATTAAAATATGACAAAGGTTGTAGTCCTTCTCCAGTCTATCAAAAAATGTTTGTGTTGCCTTTTAAAAGATTTCCCCTGCTTCTTGTGTTCGTGACCACTGGCATTGGAAGTGAGGGGAAAAAAATCCCAATGGAAACATAAAGAGCAACAAAAACATCATAAAGGTTCTAACCTTCTCCGTATATCCAAAATGAAAAAAACAAAGTTTTAGCTGGAGTTTGATTTGAATTTCTTTATAATTGGTTGTATGCTGGGAAATAAATCAGCATTATATAGAAGAGGGGTGCACACAACATTTTTCATGGTATTCATATACTGATCTAACATTCACAGTAAGCTAGTTAAATGTGCTAAATAGGGATCCCAGTTTAATAAAAAAAAAATCTATAGCTATTCGTGGCAGTAATGTGTAGAGTTCTAAATATAACCTATGAACAATAACAATTTTGTCTTCTTAACTGGTAGCGCTGCTATTATGCAGATGAGCTGATCTGTTCTTCAGCCAGACAATGAAAACTATTTTGTGTCTGTGACCACCCCTGCCACTGAGAAGGATGATCGGCTTCCACAGCATGCATCTAATTTCTCACATATTTCTTTTTATAAATTATTTTGGGATCAAATG